GTGCCCCCAGGAAAAACCAATAAGCCCATTAAAAAGGCCCAGGGGTCTGGCCAGAGCGGCTAGTGCTGGCAGTGCTCTCTAAGTGACGTGAGTTACCGTTCCCTGGGGTTGTCACTTCCAAAGAAAAAAGCCACTGATGTAGAAGTCTAAAGCTTAGGGCAGACAGATCAGATACTGCAGTGGCCAACAACTGCCTGGCTCCTTTCCCCCAGGTTCCCAGCACCTCTCCGCGATACCCTTCAGTCCATCCCGACAGCCGGCACTGGACTGCTCTGACCTTTGCTGTGTTGCACGGGCACATCTCGGTTGTTCAGGTAAGCAGAGGAAATCCCGGGGCCGGGAATCTTTACAGGAGAGGGAGCGGGGCGCAGCGCTGAGCCCAGTGCTGGGCAGCACCCTCGCTGTCACGGGCTCCTCGTGCAGCTTGGTGGAAGCCTTCTAAAAACCGGTTAAAAATTGCATATTTTGAAAACAAGGAGAATGCAACTTATGCTTTTCTTGGGGAACTGGGAATTCATGAGATAATTCCTAGCAAGGCCTTGATAACAAAACACAGTACGTTTCCTTGTTTTTCTTTGGTTCCAGCATTGGTCCAAGGCTTACCACTTCCTGAACAACGCTGCACAGTCATTTCTTTGGCATTAGATAAACTACCGCTTCATGTGGAGTGGGTACAGGTGGACTGCTCGGTCAGGATGCTTTCCGACAGTAGATGTTAATTGGTTTATACATTTACATGTGCCAAAATTAAGCGTATGCTGATTTCTGCTCTAGTGGCAGCAAATCATCTGTAACTTCCTTCTATAATCCTTGGGAACTGCATGCACAAGACTTGAGCTGTCGTGGGAATTGAGCCTCTCACATCCTCCCCGCTCCCTTTTCTGTGGAATTAACACAGGCGGCAGCGGAACGGGCTGGAGTCCTGGAAACCCCACCTGAGCTTCAAGAGGAATTCAGAGCTGATCACAGCAGACAGCCAACTGCTGGCGAATTTAACTTACCTTCTGCTCAAAAGGGGGAGGAAAAAAAAAAAGACCTAAGCAAACGGAGGCTGCACACACTCATTTTTTGTGTGTGTCCATTTGTAAATAATTACCAAGATTAGATTCCGCCTGGCACATTGCCAGGGCAGCCTTTGGTATCAAGGAAGGTTGGACAGCCTTAATTTACATGTGAGATAAGAACGTGACTCTCCCAGGAGATGTAGCCAGGGATATCAAAGCTCCTGTTGGACTGCATTACCCCCAATGTTTGTTACTTTTATTTTGCTTAAAACTTCTAAATGACATACTTTCATTTGGCAACTATTAATAAAAGGGTAGATGTCAGCTTTTGCTGAAATCAGTGTACAAAGTTGCCTTTCTAGGTAAGGTCTACCATGAGCTACTTGCATGGAGTAGCTGGCATCTCAAGAGAGAAACAAACCAGCGAATGACCCAGCAGCCATGCTCTGCAAAGGGCTTTATAATAAAAATGGGAATGTGTACGCTGTCTGTGCCAAGGGCAAGCTCATCACTGACTGGGGATGGCTGAGACTGCTGAATTGTGACGGTGTCATAGGACAGAGGCAGCTGGACTCCGGCACGCAGCGGAGGAACCTCTGCTGCTGATGCACAGGGGCACAGGGCTCGTCCTCCCCCCACCAGCCCGCAGCTGAACAAGACGGACTTCCCACGCTGAAGAGAAGCTCTGATTGCAGAGCTCTCTGGAGCTGGGAAATTACAATTGCAAAAGCATGTTCCTGAAGCAGATTAAAATAACAAAACAAAACCAAGGAGGTGATGTCCAAGCTGCCAGCTGAGCACCTTTCCAGCATAAACTCACTACTGAAAGCACAGTAAAGCAGAAGAAAATAAGAAAACTCTAAACTGACATTCATGTGGAGACTTTAGCCCTAGGCTGAGCGAGGGAATGCAAGAGAAATTTGCCTTGTAATAGCTGTTTTGCTTTAGCCTTTGAGGTGGTCCCTTTGCGTGCATGCGCTCTTCACTACGAATCTGCTGGTTTGCCTCTCTAACACCCAGCTGCTTCTGGTTGGTCTTTCTGAATTGCTCTTTTCTCAGCTCCTTGTCCTTCGTGTCTCTTGCAGCTGCTCTTGGATGCTGGTGCCCATGTTGAGGGCTCTGCTGTCAACAGTGGAGAAGACAACTACGCTGAGACTCCGCTGCAGCTGGCTTCAGCAGCAGGTAAGCTCGGTGCGGCCCCAGCACACCAGAGAACAACCCCAGCCAGTTCACCCGGGGGTCCAGTGTCTGTAGAACACGTTAGGAGTCACTTGGCACTGCATCCGAAGGGACCGTGGGTACAGTAAAGCTATCAGACGGGTAGCACGGTGAGCTGGCTACTAAAAAGTCAGTATTTTTTTCCTTTCTAAAACACCAGCAGGAACCCCGTCGGGGTTGGCAGCAGCTAACAGCTGTCGTCATGCGGCAGGAGCTTGGTGGGTGCTAAATGCCTGTCTGCTTGTGCAGCTCCTCCCAGCGCTCACCGCCCGCCAGCGGCCTCCATAGCGAAGCTGGCTGAAACAGCTCCTTCGCACGGGGCACTGTCGGGAAACACAAACCAGCTACTGTCTAGTCTAGGCATGTCTTGGATCTATGTAACTTCCAGATGCAAAAATTAACAGGTTTAAATTCAGCCTGGGGAAAAATAACTGCTACATGGAGAAATATGGTTTATTCATTTATTAAATACAGGTAAAATTCTGCATTTCTTCTACCTAACTGTCAGGAGAAGAGTTCAGCATTCTGGGAACAAGTCTGTGCTAGACTAAAAGTACCTGTTATTTTTCGACACTTTTCACCTCACACTATTATTACTTTTTTCTGCTTCATTTTTGTGCATTTATGTATTACATTTCCGTCAATTTTTTCCTAGGGAACTACGAGTTGGTCAGCTTATTGCTAAGCAGGGGTGCTGATCCACTCCTGAGTATGCTGGAAGTCAATGGAATGTCTTCATCGCTTCACGAAGATATGAATTGCTTCAGTCACTCCGCTGCGCATGGGCACAGGTAAAGCTCCGTTCATAGTCGGAACAGGGTTTTTTTTTTGCCTAAGGCTGTCACTGTAGCTATTCCTCTGTGGCTTTATATTACATCTTCTACCCACGTTCAGAAGATGGTGGTAAGACTGTCCTGACAGCAACCATTCCTTAGTGCTGCACAGTTTCTCAGACTATTTCGATTTTGATGTAGGTAGTGCCTTTTGAGGAACTGAGAGAGTCTTTAAACTGGTAGCTGCTCTGTTACAGCCCTTTGAGAAAAAACTAGGCAAGACTTTCATTATTCAGCAACTACAACTTTGATAAAAGAAAGGGATTATATTTTAGTCAAAAGCACAAAATACAACAGAAAGATCTTTGTTTGCTTTTTGCTTATTCTCGCACTTGCTGGTCCAGCTCTGCAGCGCTAAGGGTGAGCAGGAGCTGGTTGTAGGCCATCCACGAGCAGACTAAGTTCAACCTGCGGGTAGGTTATGAGACAGTGGTTCATGTTCCGAGACAGAATCTAATCCCATTAAGGTGGCAAAAATAGTCTGTGGCAGAATTTCGTTGACTGCATCTCCGGTTTTTAGATGGCCAACCAAGAGATCAGTCGTTAAGACACCAAAAAGCCAGCCTGGGCTTTCCAACTCTGTTTTCAGGGTAGTTATTTAGAAATAAAACATTACTTACAAACTCATCCAGAAATCCATCCATTTCCAGAAAAAAATACTAGCATAAGAAGCCAATTAAAACAGCCCTGAAACCGCCTGTGTAGCTGGGCTGAGAGGTACCCAGAGGGTCTTAGAGCGGCACAGCTCGCCCTTCCAGTAGCACGTTAAGTAGCAGCTGCCTTGCTTGGACACAGCTGTGCTTTACAGTGGTGCCAGAACTGCACCTCCAGGTACATGGCACATCTGGATACACCAGGGAAAATACCCCAAGCCCAAACTCTGCAAAGCTGGAACAGCCTAATGCAGTTATTTACAGTGTAAAGCTACACAAATGCTGTTCTGTTCCCACTTCTGTTCCCCTCCCACGACCTTCTGCAACATCTCACGGTGCAGACTGTGAAATTCAGGGCTCGTTCTCCAATCGGATAGGGCAGGGTGATCCTAAATTAACATTTTTTTAGTCATACGGAGCGGTGCGGGTGCAAAGAGAGCACCAGCTAGTGGCAATTCAGCATCGCGGCCGAGTGCTGGGGTGGACTCGCTGGGAAGGGGAACGTCTGTTGCAGATGGCTCCAGCTGTCTGCAGGGACACCAGCGATGCAAGCGCTCTACAGCGGCCGGACGCAAACGAGAAAGCCTCTTCCTTGCAACTGCTGGGTGAAAGTCCAAACCAAAAAAATGCTCCCTGGATTTAGTGATGCAGATCAATTTTATGGTTGTTATTTACTGTATCAGGAAGCAAGTCTGACTAAAAAACGTAACAGTGCTTGAAGATGGGCATCTGGGGAAACAGCAAGGGCCCTGACAGATGCTCTCTGTTAAAGTAAATCTTACTTCAGAGCTTAAGGTGTTACCACACTCGGGGCTGGCAGGAGGAAACATGCTTCTATGCCGAAGTATAGACTGTGATAAAACCCAGCTTGCCCCAAAACTCCAAAGTAGGCCCTGCTACCACTAAGGTATGGGAGCATATTCCATTCTTCTGCCCTTGCTACCAGGGCATCCATTTCTAGCGTGCGGGATAGGGAAGGATGAGTGTGTTAAATGCTGCTCCATCTCTGCCAGCTGTCTGGCTTTGGGAAGGAAATTATTATTTACGAAGCCAGATGCCCCCCAACCCCCAAACCACCATAGTCCTGTCTGATTTGTTGCTATCTCATTAATTAATAAGTGATCTCTCTTCTTCATCCTCAGGAATGTCCTGCGCAAGCTCCTGACCCAGCCCCAGCAGCTGAAGGGAGACGTCCTCTCGCTGGAGGAGATTTTAGCCGAGGGAGTGGAGAGTGACACCTCCAGCCAGGGCAGCTCCAGCGAGGGGCAAGTCCGCCTCTGTAAAACACGAATGAAGGCTCTGCAGGAGGCCATGTATTACAGCGCCGAGCACGGCTACGTCGACATCACCATGGAGCTCAGGGCACTTGGTAAGCTGTGTATTTTAAGCACTGTGCACATTTAAGGTGTGAAAAGCTTCTTCCTCAGCCCCTTTCACTTGGAGAAGAATCTGTAACCCCAACTGCAAAGCCATCCCAAGCTTATGGGAACCAGCTGCCTAATTTAAATAAGTAAGTGTTTAAGGCTTCTCACAAATTTTTTCAAATTCCCACTGATTGGGGAAATTCAGTGTTAAAGAGGCTGGTCTCAAAAACAAAGATAACATCAGAGATTAAATGGTTTAAGGTGAAAGAACAGATTTGATCTAAAGGTAGGAAAGAGAAGATTAGAAGCTTGTGTGTCTAGACTGTTACAGCTAACCAAGAGAAAAGACCTCACACACCACGTTTGTGTAGGGTTAGGTATTCTTAGAAGTCCAGATTAGATTTATTTTGGATTTCTGACTAATCATGAAGCTAAATACACAACAGGGAGTCTCGGGTCCTTAATGATCAGCAGGTAGTTCCAACTTGCAGTCCTGGTACCAATCCTTTGTAGATAAGTCACCTAATCTCTCGATGACCCAGTTCAGTCATCTTTAATATCAAGACAAAAAAGTGTATCTGCTGTTAGGATGTATGTAAAGACAAAAAATGTATCTCCTGTTAGGATGTACGTAAAGATCGGCTTCAGCGCTGCTAAGCGTTGGTACTAGCAGCAGGACAGTCTCCTCACAGGTACTTCAGGAAATCCTCTTTCACTGTGCTTTTTGCTGTGGCTACAGGAGTCCCGTGGAAGCTCCATGTGTGGATCGAGTCGCTACGGACAACCTTCTACCAGTCTCGTTACTCAGTCGTGCAGACCCTCTTACGGGAATTCGTCACCATTAAGGAAGAGGACTATAACGAAGAACTGGTTAATGAAGGCTTGCAGCTCATGTTTGAGGTCCTCAAAACCAGCAAAGTAATTATCAGTTTTGTTAACAGTATCAAAGTCAAGTGTTTGGGTTTTGCCGCTGTACAAAGTAGCGCACAACAAGAGCAAGTGAATGCCTGCGCAAAGTCCCTAATGAGTTACGGTGTGAAAATGGCCCTGAGAGCATTCACCTAAACTCACATACAGCCCACAAGAGCAGTCCTCACAGCAAAGACGTTCATTTCAATAGAAGCGAAAGCTACTCTGCTGAGGCCCTGATCAGCAGCTGGCTTCTGAAGCCGTGCCAGTGCAAGCGGAAGAGCTGTCAGCGCGGTACGGGGCAGCCCAGGTTCCCTCAGCAGTATCTTCTGGGAGTTTCCTGAACGACACTTTTGTTCAGCAACATTTTCCTCCTACTACTTTTTTCTTTTATTTAAAGGTTGCCTGTGACTGTTTTTTCCTTGCTTTTCCAGGCCTATCTAGGAGGCGTTCGACCCACGCTATACAGTTTAGCTGTCCCATTCTGCAGATCAGGTCACCCGCTCTCTGCCATGTTCTCCTCTGAGGGGCTGCAGCCCTTCACATTCGGAGGGGGATGCCCGCCTTCCGACGGGGGCAGGGGAGGCTGAGCACAGAATCACAGAATGGTGGGGGTTGGAAGGGACCTCTGTGGGTCATCTAGTCCAACCCTCCTGCCGAAGCAGGGTCACCCAGAGCAGGCTGTAGAGGACCTTGTCCAGGCGGGGCTTGAATATCTCCAGAGAAGGAGACTCCACAACCTCCCTGGGCAGCCTGTGCCAGTGCAGTACGTACGGCTCTTGACACTTCCATAGCTGGTCACTACAACGTACGTTGTAACTGTCCTTTGAATTAAAAGCAAGGGATACAACAGGCTAACTAAACCAGTTGCGAACTAGGAACCAGAACTTGGTATCTGACAGTGAACTGACAGTATTGATCAAACCCTGCCGAGGACACGCTTGTGGGCAAGCGGAAGGATGAGCTTTTGCTGACGGATTCTTTTTCCCTTGACAGAGGCTGGCCCATGAACGGTTGCTGAGAGCATTCTGTCAGAGCGTGCTTGTTCAGATCAGGCGCTCTCGTTTTTTGGAGGTAGTTCGGTGAGGGCGGAGCTGCTGCAAGCTTCGAGTGAACGGTTACGCAGCGTGTTTGAAGCCTGCTCAGTACAAAGTGCCGACTGACGATACCTGTTCCCTCCTCCTTGCAGAACGATTCCATCAATCAGCAGCTTGCCTCCATCTTCACCCACTGCTACGGCAGCAGTCCGATACCCAGCATTCCTGAAATCCGAAAGACACTGCCCGCTCGGCTAGGTAAGACGCTCACCTCAACAGCAAAGTTCTTGTGATTCTTTAATTTCTTTTTTAAAAGCATCCACAGTTTCAAAAAATATTCATGCTCTTTCTTTCTCCTTACCCTAACAGATCCTCACTTTCTAAACAATAAAGAAATGTCTGACGTAACTTTCTTAGTAGAAGGAAAGCTGTTTTATGCACACAAAGTCCTGCTGGTCACAGCATCTAACAGGTGAGTCGCTTTCCACAGCTGAGGACAGATTGTTAGAGGCAGGTTTGGCCCTCCAGTCTCACACTTGTGTGATTAGCTCTCACTCACCCACAGCACAGTGCTAAGAACATGGCTACAGACCATAATTCTGGCTTGCAAGACCAAGCCACACCTTTTTTGCTAGCGTTAAGAATGGTAGGAGAGTAAAGATGATTTTTTCTAGCCCCTCCTAGTGAGTGTCAGAGATTCCCAGAGCTGTACTGACATAAGTTATCCAGTAATTATCCCTAAAACCCGTGCAGTAGCTGGAGCCTCCACATCCAGCCACCCGCTGCCTGCCCGTTCCCCCTCTCGGAGTTTGCTAGCTAGAGCTGCGCTTGCTCCAGATTTCCTGGAAGCCTCACCCCTGACCTGGGCCGCTTGTAGTTACTCATTTCTTCCTCTGTTACTGGCACAGTAACAGCGTTTGGCAACTGTTATGGGGTGGGACTGGATCAGACCCACGCAATTTACAGGTGAAGTTGTCCCTGAAGTTCTAAACTGATCACATTGAATTGAAAGAAATGTTTCAAACTTGCAAACAAGACCAAGGAAGGATCTTTCTTTTCCCCTTGCTTAGGCTGTTTGTCAGTAGTTAATGAGCGTGTGAAGCACTAACACAGAGATCTGTTAAAACCATTCTCAGGTTTAAGACGCTGATGACCAATAAAACAGAACACGACAGCCACGGCAGCAAGACTGTGGAAATCAGCGATATGAAATACAATATTTTCAAGGTACACAGCTTACTCTACCTTTCTTTATTCTTTTTGTCTTCTCACATCCTTGGAATCTAAGAGGGCCAAGGCTTTGTATCACGGGTAATCTACAAGTAGGGATGGAGTTCATTCCAACACACCTGTATTTCAGGAGTATTCAGATCTTTGTCAAAACATTTCGGCTAGGACCAACCTTAAACCAGAAACCTCCAGCCTCTATTCTCACTTTCTGACTGGGCAGCTGACTCCTCCGTAAAGCAGGAGAAACTGGTCTCCACCAAAAGTGCTTTTACACTATTAAGACACCGTTTTTGTACTTTTTAAGGCATCATTTTCATACTGTGCTAAGCAAAACGTAAACTTCTTCACAGCAGGTAGACTGCCAGGCTTCATATTAATTCAAATCAGGGGATCGGAAATCAACGGTGGCCCCTTCAAGAGAGGCTCAGAATTGCACTCTGCTTTTATGACCTTTCCGCATTTAATGGACTTCAGGGAGGTTCATTCATGATGGGAGAAAGTGGGTTACTTCACACACACCCGGGGAAAAAAACAAGGCAGTGAAACGTGATAGTGAAGTTACTCCAGCTTTCCGGATCTGCATTTCAGATTTGGAAGGCAGGCACAGAACAGGGAAATCCGACGTGCAGAATGGGCTGCGTAACTGTCTCGCTACAGGGCCGAGGCTGTTCCTTTTCCTCTTTTCATAAGCAAACGAATCAGCAAAGCTGTTGCTCAGCAGCACTGGCATCTCATGGAGAGGGAAGCAAGGTGACCCTAAGAGCATCTCTGTTCTACTTGAAAGGGGCTACACAGGTTTTGGGTTGGAGAGACAACAGCCAAATTTTGCAGCTCAGGCCATGACAGAAAAAAGGAGATGTAACTGAGTACATTGAAACAAGCCTCCTTAGCAACATTTTTACATCAAAAGGCTTCTAAAGACAAAACTTCCGCTTCACTGGAGGGAGTAACAAATCTAAAAGAATTAAAACACTGAAATACTTCATGGAATTCAACAATTTGATGGTAAATAAAATCAGACACGTTAAGGAGATGATGGCATTCTGCAGCAATCTCTCAGTTACGGCGCACAGGGAATGCTGAGCCACCAGAGATCTGCTGGGTTCTGCTGGGGCTCTGCTGGAAAGCTGTGATTCCGTTACACAAATAAGACAATTTTAAAAGTAGCAGCTTAGTTTTGTTGCCGCTGCTGTTAGAAATGGTAAGCACAGCATGCAGTGCCCACACCTGCTCCTCCAGCACCCAGGACACGGGGACGGCTTCTCTTCCCAACACCCAACCTAGCCCTTCCCAGATAAGACAGTACGGGTTTAGCTGGGGGTGTGCACAGAGATCAAACAGCAGAAGCTGCCTCTTGCTCTCCCTGCAAACAATTAGCCTTTTCCTCCGGCCCCGAGGGGGGGCTGGATTAGAAGGTCGGTGGGGAGGCAGTGGCTGGGGGGGCCCCCAGACACAGATGCTCCTGGCGGGCAGTTTCCCTGGTCGCTCTGCAAGGCTTTACAGAACCGGATCCAAGGAACCGTTGTACAAGGACACTCGCGTTGCTCAGAGACGGGGTCACCCTCAGCCTAAAATCCTCAACAGGGCCCTTCTCAGAGCCCAAGGAAGAAAAGAGTATTAGAAAGCAGCAGATTTGCGACACCAGAAAAAAGCCAACAGCCAGCATAGCGCGCGATTCCCGTCTGCTCAGCCGTCCACGGCCTCTTGTGCCTTCAGCGGTAACAGCTTCACGCCCGGCCTTCTTCCCGTTTCAGATGCTGATGCAGTATTTATACTACGGAGGAACAGAATCTATGGAAATTCCCACCACTGATATCTTAGAGGTGAGAATGTTTTCTTCTAAGTCTCACCAAGCGTGCTGGGGCATAAACAGAGCTCGAAAGGCAAAATCCAGGAGCTAACAGCAAGCTTCCAGTCCAGGAGTACACCTAACACTGCGAAATGAGCTTAGAGTTTCAAAACACACAGCTGCTTGGAAAGAAGCACTATCAGTTATGTTTTATGACATAAAAGGAAGGAAATCACTACCGTGCTTTTGGTACCCAGAGTTGGGTGGAAGCCCCCTTTGCCCCACGGCCTCTCTGTGCCGGGGGGCAGCGGGGCTGCTGTACTTGTGGTGGGGCACAGAAAAGGCACAGCTGGCCAGCAGCCAAGGGGCTGGAGATGGCAGAGGAATGACCGAGTTCGAGCTGAGCTTCTGCAGAGCAGCTGACGGTACAGCGCAATTCCCCGTTACAAATATTTTGTAACTTTTACAATAACGCTGCTCAGTCACAAGCAGTCTGGTAAAACTTGCAGCTAAAGACTACACACAACTCTTTTTTTTTTTTGAGGAGAGGGAAGGGCGCTTTGAGCAGCCCAGAGCTCGTAGGTCACGGTGACAGAAGGTACCGTAAATGCGCTTCCTGCAGGAGGAGCAAGAGGGGAAATCTGTCGCTTTAGCTAGGGATGGAGCGGCCTTTCTGCTCCTTCATGGGGACTCAGCCATAAAACAGGGAGTCAGAGACCGTTCAGAGAGGAAATCATCAGTTCTGCCCTTTCCCTTCCCTAAAAGCCCTTCAGGGCTCATGATCTCAAGTAACTTCTCTCTTGTCCCCATAGCTGTTGTCCGCTGCCAGCCTGTTTCAACTGGACGGCCTCCAGCGACACTGTGAGATCCTCTGTGCCCAGACGATCAGCGTGGAGAACTCTGTTCACATCTATAAATACGCAAAGGTATGTGCCAGGCTGCCTTATTTGAGAATCACAACGGAACGGCACGCATGCTGTCTGCAGTCTCACCTTGGTAACTACACACACCAGGCACAGAGTGGGCACCCACTATGCTGGTAACTCTACCCCGACCAGAACCACGAGTCAGACGTATTGACGTTCCAGTCTGTAAAGTCCTACGCAGCCCCCGTGCGTTTTCTTGTCTAAAGCAATCTCGTATGAAATCGATGCGAGATCCCTAAAGAGCAGGCGAGAGGTGTCTTAGCAGGCCGACACAGCAGCATCGTCCGGCAGAGCCTGCGAGATGCAAATCCTGGGAGCAGCAGGGGCTGTTGCTCATAGCACAGCAGCTAAGAAGTAAACCCTTCCCTACCACTCCTACTGCTAAAGCGCGTTCTTTCCAGCGCCAGAACTAGCACATACTCTGTTGTGTGACATGGAGCTCGCCTCTCTAGCGAATAATCCAGGTTATCAGTTAAATAGTGGAAGAAGACTCTGCCGCTCCTGGAAGGCTGCGGGGTCAGGTCCCTTAAAGACAAACAGAAAGACCACAAAGGGCTGATAAGGACGTGGGTGTTTGATAACGATGTGCATGTTTGATAACGACGCGCCTGTTTGCTCTGGGCGTAGTGTCGCACTGATCCTTGGCAATTCCCAACTCTCACACTGGGCCTTTTTTTTTTTCCCCATGGAATTCAGGCTGGTTTCTTCAGGACGTAAAATTTAACAGTGTGCAGTGCTAGAGAGGGGCAAGGGAGCATTCCCTCCTGGCCCCTAGTACTCTTCCTTAAATTACCATTTGCACAGAGTTCCCAGAAACGGGGGTGTGCATGCGGAGTGCTCCTTAACACTGCGCTGGAGTTTCATTGTTCTCCGGCTACTGACTGAGCTTCCCCCACTGGTTCTGAAGCAGAGGGAACCAGATCACAGCCAGAAATGTGCCCGACGCCTTTCAGAAGCGTAACATCCCCCTTTTCCTAGGCTCAGCTCCTTTTCTAGGAGCTGGGCTCGCGTCCGATGAACCGTATGCTCATTGCTGCGCGCACCATCTGGCAGCGCAGCGCTTTGTGCTGCGGCACACGATCCCCCCGCCTGCGCAGCCGGACAGGTATCCTGGCCGCGCCATCGGCCAGCTGCTCTGCTCCTGGAAGGGGACGAGACTTAACAAAAGCTTGAATGCCTCCCTGCTCACACCGGTGCCTGCAAAAAGCACCAACAGAAATTATCAGCCATTGCTGGTCCTACCTTCAGTGCTTTTTCACTGTCACTACCGTCCTTTTTCTGGCTTAGAAAACATCGAAGGGAAAAGCATTAGAAACGAGAAGAGGCTCGGGCACGTCCTTTGGGGCTGTGACAGACAGAAAAGGCTGATCGATCTTCCTCTCTCCTGCAGATTCACAACGCACCTGAACTGGCGTCTTTTTGTGAAGGCTTCTTCCTCAAACACATGAGCTCTCTCCTGGAGCAGGACTCGTTCAGACAGCTGATCTACAGCAGGAACAGCAAAGTGCAAGGCCTGGACCCTCTGCGGGACTTGCAGACAGCCCTGGCCGGCCGCCTGCACTCTGTCTACGTCACCTCCAGGGTGTGAAGCGGGCGCAGGGCAGCGGCAGCAGCACGGGTCCACGTCGCCAGGCAAAGCTGTGGCTTTCCTGTTTGCCTTCCAGATCTTGCTGAAAGTCCCCTGCAACAGAACCCCCCCGGGCTCGGCTGCTGAGCCCCGTCCCGCCGGCCGAGGGGGAGCTGGCCTCTCTGTGCTACTACTGTCACAGAAACACTGTCACAGCGCAAAACGAGAACCGAGGACGCAAGCCAAGAACCCAAACCGAAGAGAAGATCGACGCTGCCGTTTCACCAAGCACAACGCAGGGCTGTGGGGAAGGGAGGCGATGTACCCAGCCCCAGCACCTATGCGTAGTCTTAAGGGTCTGTCTAGGCACCGTAATGGCCACCTAGTTCCTACACATAGATGTTTTACTTGTAAAAAGGCTGCACAGGAGGAGTTTTCCGATCCCATGGACCACTGCCCGTTCAGCGAGTCAGCTGGCTCAGCGCAAAGGCCGGTGTACACAAACTATTCACTATAGTAATAAACACCAATGTCTGTACATGGCAAGAGACTCTGACATAAATTTTCCCCCAAACTGTTTGCACCTTGAGAGAGAGAGATTTTGTAGATGTTCAAAGCTGAGTAGAAACTAATACTAACTCTGAAATTACTCACTCTTTAAACCTAATGTGAAGAAATGAGCTGGAGCAGGGAGGGGAAAAATTGGGAGGGGTTTGCATTTTTTTTTTTTAAATTGTTATAGGTAGTCGGTGGGGGGGGGGGGGAAGACTGTCTACCCTTTCACTATAAAGGTTTGATAGTCCCAATCGCTTTCACCTTAAAAACCTGTTTGTGAATGTTACCTGTGCGGCCAGACACCATAAAAGCTGCTTTCTAAAAGACCCAGGTGGAGCAGGAGCTAGCACTACGCCAAAAAGCTGCCCAATAGCAGAAACAGCAATAAAAGTCTCCCCAAGACCCTGAGGAACACAGAGCCCGATGGCTGGTTCTCCCCCTGACCTCCGGTCTCCGCTTCCACCGCTCCATCTGCAGAACGATGCCTGCACAGGCCCGCTCCCTCTGCCTGCCCGGCTCCTCGAGGCTGCGGTCCAGCGCTTGGGCGGCTGCACCTAGACACGGTGCCTCAACTCGAGTGCCCCAGAGTCACGTCTTCCCTTTGTTTCTGATGTTTCTGGTCCGAAGGGACTCCTCCTAGGCTGCCTTCTAGCTGACTTAGGAGAACTAAAAGGAGACCGCTCAAGCTACAGTTTTGAGTCTGAACCTGTGTTTTTGCGTGTGTGGGGGGGTGTTTTTTAGTTTTAAATAATCCCAACCATAGGGAGGCAGTTAGTTGTGTAGAAACACAGACCCTGCTCTTACCGATAGCTTTAAGGAAAGACCTCTGGCTATTCCCCGCTGATCTTTGTTAGCACCCACCAAAAGCACTCACTGAGATGCTTTCATTCCTTACAGGGGTGTGAAGGAGGAGGCAGCCACCTTTTCAGTGGACAACTACTGCTTAGAAATTCAACAGTTAATGCTGCCATTAAACACACCGGGAGAAGGAGGCTCAGCAGGGCCCAAGCTCCAAAGCATGACACAGACATAGTTTAGGGAGGTGAAGGGAAAAAGAACAAGCTACAGCCCCTCCCAACAAATCCATCAAAATCCATCCTCATTCCTAAAGCATTTACACAAGAGGCTTGCGAGAAGGGCCAGCCTAGGCTCAGCCAGCTGACAGCCGAGTCAGCCAGGGCACGCTCCCATCTGTGCTTCAGGTACACATCCACTTTTGAAGCTCACCAGCTCCAATAACCCTATTTATTCTCAGAAAGCAATACAGGTGCTTCAAAATTCAAAATCGTCACTGATCTGCCTGGAAAAGTACCACAAAAGGCTTTATCTTGGAAAGTATTTTCAGGTAGCTGCTCTAGCTCTCTGTACAAATATGTAGGTCCTCTTTCGTTGCTGTAATATTACAATGCTTTGTTAATTGTACATTAATGTTGTCATTTATGTAAATGTACCAGGATTTTATTAACAACGTAATTTTAAAATACACAGCTGCTGTTATTTATTCTGCCCTTCTAACAACGAGAAAACCCATATTTAAAGACCCTTCTGTGGAAAAGGCCATTGCAGTTTTAGCACCTCAGTTGTGTTTTGGTATATACACCTAATTTTATGCTGTAAAACAAGGGATGGAAGAGGCATTCATCTCCCCTTCCTAGGCTCAAACATTTTTTGAAGCAGTAAGTTCTACGTGCACCGTCCCTAGCTGAGGTAAGCTTACCTGCTTTTCATGGAAAAGCAGTGGATGGCAGCGTCTGAGAAAAACCCCAGTTCTAGGATTCTTCTCTGCAGCAGAGAGACAGCGAGGGTTAAAGCAACTGCTACCCTGGAGGTATTCACGCAGCCCTCAGAAGTTAAACAACATCTGACTCAGTCCCTGCCAAAAAGCTAACAAATAGAATGTGAACAAGCAGGTAGCGCTTCCTTTCACCTCGGAACCGACAGGCTAAACCGGCTCTGGCTGGTGCTGCGCTGTGGCAGCACCAGAATTCATGTCAGAGCATTTAAGAACACTCCAACAGCCACACAAAGTCAGGCACGCAGCACAGGAGGAAGAACAGCATTTATTTATCCACGAGGTAACAAGTATACAGATTTAAGAGCCAAGAATTTGACCCACAACTACTTTTTTCCCCCCTCCCCTGCTTACCCTGTAAATCTTGCAGAGCCCTGCCGAGTCTGGGGATAACGGCTGAGCTGTAACTCTGAATCTGGCGCTACCTCCACAGGACTCCAACCCTTTCCTCGGACGCTGAGCACACATCGGAGGAAACCATTAACACAGCCAGGACCCGCGCTTGGCCGCTCAGACTCTCTCTGCAATTGTGTCTTTCCTTGATTTCCCGCCACGCACCTGAACAAGGGGAACCGTGCAGCGTATCGCTCTGGTGTAGCCAGACGTGAAACCCAGTTCTACCACCAATTACCGTCACAAGCATTTCTTCGCGATCAATTTATGTGATCTGAGAGGAGTCTGCTGGGAACAACGCATGGGGGTGCCTTCTCTTGCATTGTGCCGTTACACCAGCACGCTTGGAAACCCACCAGTACAAACAGCGACTTGTTCGCAAGAATCATGGAATGCAAACAGCAAAGATTCACTTTGGAGCACTTTAAGTAAATTAAATAGAAATTTCTTATCAAAGTAGTTGCACACTGCCTCTGTTTCACACAGTGCTGCCCTTGGCATCCCAGAAAGTAACGTAGCAGAGGTTGCCCAGCTTGGGGGAAGCACAAAACTTCGTTGGCCATAATGACGTCATCTCATGGAGTGCAGGAAATAAACAGAGCTCGCACATCTGCCTGAACATGCTCGATGGCCTTCAGCCTAAAATAAAAACTTTTTTCTTTGTAACAAGCCTCCGCACAGCAGGCAAGCGCCGGCTGACGCAGCGCCGACACTAAC